ATCCTATCCACAATAGCACAGCAGTTTCAAGAATGAATGTTGTCTGCTTGTTTCTATTTTTTTTATTTTTTTCAAGGTTACACTAAGAGCGCGTTCACTTAAGCGATTTCTGAGCAGAAATCGCTTTTTGTGAAGTTCAAAAATCGCATTCTACAGAATGCGTTCGTTTTCTTAATTTCACACATTCTATAAATCGTAGAATGCGGATAAAAATCAATTTTTATGCAAATTTTGAGAATTAGCTTTTAGCTAATTCTCATCATAGAAATCACATTTTATTTTTTTGATGAAAATGGACAAGTCCACGTCCACCGTACAAAACCTTCTAAAACCATACTTTTCTGTATAACACCATACAGATTATTCCATACACTCCACCAAACCCTTCACCTCTTTGCCGATCACTCCTCATCATCACCTTTCTACATAATTGATCAAAAACTATTCAATATCAAAATGTCTGGCAATGCCGAGAATTCAGCCACCAGTGAAGATGAATCAACCCTCAAGGCATCAAAATCAAAAAAACCCGACGTTAAATAAAAAAAAATCAAAAAAAAAGAATGAAAAGAAGAAGCAAGATAAGAAGAAAGAAGAAGCTGATGAAAGCACTGGTGGCGCATGGACTCTACGAGAGTCCCTTTATTTCATTGAAGAATACTCAAAACAACTTGAGCTTGGTAAAGGAAACGATGGCGGCATCAAGTCGGACGCCTGGAAGATAGTGCGCGAGAACTACAACACAAAATTCAAAACGAATCACAAATTAACTCAATTTAAAAATCATATTCAAAAGGTTTGTTTTCTTCCTTCTTCCTTATTCCTTATTCCTTATCATTTCTTCTTCATTATTCTTTCTTCCTTATCATTTCTTCTTTGTTCTTCCTCACACGATCTCGATTCAACTTTGCTATGTACAATCTCCAACTCAGCTCAAGACAACATGCAAGGCTTTCGACAAGATCAAAGACTCCTCAGGTGCTCCAGGAACTGATGACACCACTGGAACAGTTAAAGCTACAAAGGACTGGTGGGATGCATGGATTAAGAAGGTAAAACTTTTCTTTTATTATCTTTTATTGTTTTTTACTTTCAACCTTATTCGCTTACTACTAAACTTAAGTCTGGAAACAGCGACACGATTCCTATCAAGAACGCCGGGTTTCCGCAGTATCTAGCAGTATCACAAATTATGCCTGAGAAAAAAAATCGTGCCAACAGAGAAGAAGGTTTTGGGACACAGAGCAAGAAACGACAAGTTGCACCTACCCCTCCACCCACTAATGCAGGTCATGATGACAATGATGAAGGTAGTTTTATTTGCTTCATTTTCATCAGCTCAATCAGATGATCTCATTTACATTTTCCTTAGATCACGAGTCAAGTGGAAAATCTTCTGAAGGCTACAAACATTCTGAATCAAATCCCAAATCCGAAGATCAACTTCCACCTCCTTTAAAAAGGATGAAGGGCAAAGTAAGTTATTGATTTGTATCCATATAGTGTATTCATTATCATACTGACTTGTACTTTTTGTACTTTATATTTCCTTTTGATACATGTATAGGGTACTCGAGCAAAGCTTGCTAGGAAGCCTGTTGAAGAGGACAAGGACAAAACCCCCGAGTTGAAGTTTGTGCGCAGTAAGCAAAGTTCAATCCAAGGAGGTTCAGCATCAGTACGATCACGCACAACCGGACCAAAGCTTGTAGCCAATGCAATGGATCGAGCAATTGAGTTGTCAGAGAAAAACGAAAGCGATAAGATCAGCATAGCCAAAATCAAACTAGAGCAACAGCCCAAACGAGAAGAAGCTATGAGGATCTTCAATGCAGAATTTGCAACCGAGCTCAAGCCATGTCACATCAACAAAGTTGCCAGTAAACTCAAAGATGACAATACAGCATCTTTTTTCTGTCACATGCACGAAAATCACCGCTGGAACTGGTTGAAAGAAGAGGCAGAGGTTTTAGGGGACTATGAATAGGGTTTATTATCAAAGCAATTGATGTATCAGATTATCTTCATCACTTAGTTTCTTTTTACATTCATTGTTTGTATCAATCAATCAATCTTTATCCATTATAAATATTTTTATACAAAACAAAACATATATTATAGTTGCAAATGGTACATAAGTAATGCAGATAATAGTATTACATTTTTGATTAATAAAACAGAGAGAGTTTAACAACATTTGAATGAAAATAAGAGCTTTTGAACCACAATAAAATAAGAGCTTTTAAATGTGTCGACGAGCTGCAGGTGCATTCATGTAGTCATCAAACATCTGTTGAGCAAGCCTGTCACGCTGTTCATTGGCTGCATTACATTGTTGGATGGTAGGTTCAGTCCAATCTGGCTCATCATCGCGTGCAAGTCTTGATTCTAATTGTTCTTTGATAGCATATTCTTCATAAAACTCATCTTCTCCCGACTCAATTTTAATTAAGTTGTGTAATACACAACAAGCAACAACTACTTTTACTTGAGCCTTGTATGAATATGACGGCATCATTGCGAGTATTGGAAATCTCATCTTTGAGACGCCAAAGATCCTTTTGATGATGATTCGAAGAGAAGAATGGCGATGATTGTACAATTCTTTTGGAGTCCGTGGTGTCAATCCGCAGTTCTTCCACTCCTTGAGATGGTATCGTACCGATTGAAAGGGGGTGAGAAAGCCCAGAACGTTCGCATACCCAGCATCAGCTACATAGAAGCGATCTGGAGGTAAGGGAACAAATCAGCAAGCTGATCAAATGAATCTAACAGTAAAAAACAAACGTACCTTCTGGTACAATGAATCTACCCTCCTCGAGTGCTTGATGTAGCACTCGAGCATCGGCGTAAGAGCCTTCCAAACCCGTGTATACAAACGTAAATAGCATGTTGAAGGAGCAGCCTGCCAGTACATTTTGGCTTAAGTCTCCTTTGCGGTTTCAATGTGCCAGTTGACAATCCAGAGGTACGATGCATGGGATATGGGTGCCATCAATGGCACCCACACATTTCTCAAAGTATGGGAACATCCGAGGGTTGTTCCTAATTTGTTTTGGACATATGTCGTTGGCGGTGGGTTGAACAATATATATAGCTTGTAAAGACACGATTGCATTGAGAACCTCCTGGAAATACTTGCTGATGGTTGCTCCGGAGCGTTGGAATCGTTCTCCAGCGGTTCAATTAGTTCCAGAGTTGCCGACAATATATAAGAATATCATGACACGCTCTTCAGCTGTTACACTTCTCTTGCGGTGGATGATAAGCTTACCTTCAAGGGCTTTCATCAAGCCCTTGAAGGCCAGCTTATCCATCCGACAGATCTCCCGAAAACGTACTTCACTACCCTCAAGAACTTCTTTTGTATACTGATTTCCGCGGAGTTTTGAAGTTTGACAAGGGATCATGTTGGTCTTTATCGAGGCGAGGAAGTCCTTGCCAGCTTGGATTACAAACTGGAGGAGGTCAAAAGGATTCTTAGAGGAGGCTGAGGACCTCGTGGAATCAGAAGAATCAGACATGATGGTTGGTGGTTGTTTGTACCACCAACCATCTTTGATGTGCTTAATGACCATCAAGACGAACACTGTTTACCGTCCTCTTTCTCTCTTTCTGTCATGGAAACGAAATTTCATATTTTTTCACGAAAATCACTTTTCTACATGTAGAAAAGTGGTCTCCTGAAAAGCGCTTTCCAAGAAACCGGGCTAAGTGAACGGGCTCTAAAACTTACACTCCTAGATTCTACACAAAAGCTGTAGTCAACTTATTCAAGGGTGCAAGGATTGTGAAAGAGCACAATCTTGCTTATCTTTCAGCATTATTGCTTCCTTTGTACCCAAAATGCACAACCTTTGGCATGCTTGCAAGCAGCGGAAAGGTGGGAGGAGACTTGAAAGGTTGATAACAGTGCTCTATGTAGAATCTAGTTCAATAAAGTTTAGTGCAACCTTGAAAAAATAAAAAAATGAAAAGAAGCAGGCAACATTTATTCTCAAAACTGCTGTAATCAGTTCAACTTATATCCAACTTTACTCATCTATATCATCTTGGTTTGATTGGATTCCTTGGAGCAGAAGCTACAGTTAGTCTCAAGACTTTGTTATCTAAACTTCTAATGAACTGATATTCTTTATCATCTTACATCTTGTTTGCCCATTTAACAATGACAAGTGTCTTTCCAACAATAGCAATCATAACCACCAAGTTGTACACATCCCCACGCCTAGGATTTGTAATCATCGGGTTCGCAACAGGCCCCGGCCCCGCCGCTACAGAACTTGAATGATTACGTAAACCACTTGGAGGGGACTGTACATAAACTAAGCAACAGGACCATTAACTGAAATTCTAAAGCTGATAACATTTGATGAGAGCTTTATAAGGTTAAGAGTAGGAGAGATTGAGAAATGCAGCTGTATTGCTATCTTCTGCGTCATATCAAACTGACTTAATAATTCCATACATTTCCACTTGAAATTTTAAAAAGGGAAATAGGTATTCCAAGTAATAAATCATATCAGACTAAAAACCCTTCATAAAATCAAACCCGTCCCACAAAGAAATAAAAAGCCCAAAAATCCATCAAATTTGTAACACAAACCCCCTACAAAGAAAACAGTCTCAACTTCAAACTTCAACTCATATCATACTCATGAACTACTCCCATTAAACTTTAATATTGCAAGCTGGCAAAGAAAAAAAGATGATAAAGATAAACAAAAGAAACAAAGAAAGATCCCAGTGAATGAAAATCAGAAATCAAAAAAAAAGAAATTAATACCCCATATTACACAAGAGAGAGAGAGAAAGAAAGAAAGAGATATCGAGAGAAAGAGGGAGAAATAAAAACCGAAACATCACATCTTTATCATTAACAGAAAACAACACACGCTGGGAAAGAAGAACAACAGATTGAAGGCAAAGAAAAACTATAGATAGCAAGAATTGAACCTATAAGAACACTCTTTATTTTTTATTTTTTTGAAATGTGAAACTGAAATAAGAAAACAAAAATAAAGGGGGTTTATACGACAAATTGTAATAAAAATAACAATCAGTTGATGAATCAGAATATAGAAACGAAATCTAGAAGAGAGAAGATGAAGATCACCATCATGGATTGAAGATATGTGTGAATAAATAGAGTAAAGGATTAGATTTTTCTTTAGATGATGATTTTCATTCCACTTTAACTAATTATGATTGAGAGTCTAGATTTCAAATGATGACTGGCGGTGAATTAATCTCCAATCTATCCAGAGATCTAAAGCAAAAACGCGATCATAAAACAATTATATATATGTATAATGCAAACCCATTATTGACAACAAGTTAAATAAGAACCAAAGAGAGAAGTCCCAGATGAAATGAATAATCAAACTTATTCATCTTCAGAAAAACTCAAAGGCCACGAAACAGCCAATCTAGGTACGATTAATTCAGAAGCCGTGTTCAGATTAGGATCAATTCCTGCAAGTAAATCATTAGCTTCTTCTTCAGCTAATTTCTCTTTCCATTCATGTTCTTCCTCTAAACTTTGCTCATATTCTGCTAGAGCACGAATCGCATAAGCGTGTTTTGAAATGCTATATGGTACATCAACTTGAGTTTTATTAGTGGATGATTTCGATGTGGACGGAACCGAAGGTGTCATCTCGTTCTCTTTGAGTAAGTTCAATGCAACTGGTGGCAATAACGATACTCGCTTTGAGAACCGAGTAGAAACACGAGGACCTGGGGTTGAAGAGTTTGGGGCGGTTGGGTTATCGGAAGGTGGTTTGAGAGGTGATACTTGCAAACTAGTAGGGTCGATGGTCTGTGGTATTTCTGACGGAGTAGGCGTAGTGAGGGGTGTGTCAAAAGAATCCGAACGTGGCATTTCGGCCCCTATCTCAAACTCGAACTTGAAAAACGTTGGGCTATCAGGCGACTGTGTTGAGCGATGACTACTATCAGACTTCCGCGGGGTCTTCATAGGATCGTCATCAGGTTGAGCTGGAGGCGGTGTCGACGGGGCGCTCTTGAAGTCTTCTGTACGCCTGGAGGGCTGTTCGGGTATGAGATCAAGTTCGGAACTAGTAGCTGGTAGGGAGACACTCGAGCTGGGTTCATGCCGAGCTCTTCCCTTTGCAGTACCCCCCAGTTTCTTGACCACTTTGAGCCAAGAAGCCACTTTGGCAACCGATGGCTTTTCAGTAGAGGTGGTAGCGGAGGTCTCTGGCAAAGGATCGTTGACGGTTTCCGCGCAAACCTCTTCAGGCGAGAGCTCATTGATGGCCCATGGCTGATCGGTGACACCTCGGGTTGAACATATTGTAGATCCTGCGACGAAAGTATCAGACTGAGCACTGTGACGAAAGAAGGATTTATCAATGAATCTTACGTTTGCGGTGGTAGTCATCCTCTTTTCTTCGTAAGATCTCAGGTTCGGGCGATAGTTCATCGTGTCGTTTACGGATGGCATCCAGACGGTTATTAAAGGTCAGGATGATATTGATAGCCTCACGTGATTTGGTTTGAGGGCCTGATTGATCGAGAACTCCGAGGCGAGACAATCTCCAGACCAACAGGCGCATGTAGTAACCACGTACTCCAGAATTCCAATGCAGAAAAAGGTGTTGAAAGATTGTGGGCTGCAGGAGTAAGTCGAGACAAAGAGCATCGCATGTCTTAGGATTGATTGTCAAACTATAAGAGATACATTCATCACACACGTTAGTCATCGAAACAAGTTGGAGGATGGATCATTAAAGACTTACGCTTCAAATTGAGAATATACAAATGCTATCGTTCTCATCACACAAACAGTGTTATCAGCGGTGGTCAAGATCCGTCGGACCACATCCAAGATAAATGATACATCAAACAATCGAAGTGACGGCTGGGCAAGCTTAGGTGAGGGTGGATGATCCGTTGGGGTGGCTACAGGAGCGGTATAAAGGACGGTATAAAAAAGACCATCAAAAAAGTCGAGGAGAAGAAAGACACTTCTTGTGTCCCACATGCTTGTGCGTTTGGTGATAGCTTGGATCCAAACGTTCAAAAGACCTCCGAAAAAGTTGCGCCGACGAGAAAAGTCAGAAGCCTCATCAGATTCAGCGTTCGCTACTGGAGAACCACCAACGATATCCAAAGCGGTCGAGATCAATCGACGATGTGCTAGTTCCAATACTTTGGGCTTGGCACCCATCGCTAGGTTGGCGGATTCGCCGGCATTGAAGCTATTGGTATTTGGACCGAGCGTAGTGACTGATCTCAAGCTTCTATGGACTAAGGAGTCACATTTGTCGAGGAAAGAGGCAGCTATGAACAAGAACCCGGGCATTGAGACTAGTAAGAGTGAATCAATAATGGTATCATTGGGCTGAGGACGAAGATAGGTGGCTAGTTGGCGATGATAGGCTCGGTAGAAGGCAAAAGGGAGGTCGGAATCGGATGCTGTCCATCGAATCAACCTACATAACCCATTATGCACATAAGTCGCTGATAGAGTCAAGATAAACTCATCTTTACAAGAACACTGACCAGTTTCCGCTCATTTCAACCTGAACAGTGCCCTCTTGGACCAGCACATTATCACTCTCAGTGCTCGCATTGGAAAAAACACGACAATAATCAGCTAGGTTGGTGAAACATAGTTCCCGAAGATAAGATGGGAAAGGTTGAAGGTTGGGTCTCTCGGAAGTCAAACTGTAATTACACAAGTTGAAATGATAATAAGCAACTATTTAGAAGTAGCGTGTAGATAACAAACTCGAACCTTTTGCTCGATGCTTGCATTTCATCGAGTATCCGTCTCATGGACATACGCTTGACTGGTGGTAAGGCCCTGAGCAATTTGCGCGCAACACCCTCGATGCGGAAGAATGCCATTGCGAGCATCCGACCGGCAAAGACCAACGTATTCGCGTACACAGCTATTGAAAAAAAAGGTTAAAGATGCACACTTGATGAGAAGAGACAAATTTGCGAATCAGTTACACTCACCCTTATCATTGAGTTTGTCAACAGCAAAGCTGAGAACAGACACCAAGACTTGGCGATACTGGGCGACCGCAGCAGGATTAGAATTGAGGATATAGCTCGCAAGAAAATGGCTAAACCGACAGAAAAGGCACCATGATAAATGTGGATGGTCAGTATTCTTTATCCTTTCCAGAAGATCTGCATAGAATAGGTTACCTTTCCAGGATACCAGCAACACCATCCAGACAAGCTCCTCGCGAGGCCGGCTGGGGCTCGCGAAGTTCTGCAAAAATTAGATCGAGCCTGATACAACAAATAGAGTCAAATCAAACTGAGCTCCTGGTAATAGGCAATTTAAAAGTTGTGAAAGGACTTACCAGCCAAACAAGATTTTACGATGAGTGATCATTAACTTTTGATTGACATAGACCGACCCCGTGTGACTTTCTTCAGCTTTGAGGAAAGGTAGTAGTGTACCGGTCAAGAAGTTAGTCAGATCCACTCGAGCACCGTTGACAGTGACAGGTTGACCACGAGATGCCCGAAAGCTGTGACCATAAGTAGGTAAATCGAATATCAGTAAGATCCGTCTGATGGACAGTCGAATTGAACGAACGAAAAGCTAAGAACCGATCATACCTAGTTAATGAAGATTCTAGAGTGGCCCATTCCTTCGTTGATTGCTCGTCGATAATCCTAACAGGAGCAACCTCGTTGGAAACATCCTGCGGGGCCGGTTTGACCTCGACCGATCGCTCAGTCTGGGCACTAGGCCCTTGTTGATGATCATTCGATTGAGGAGGAACATGGGAGCCAGGATCTGATCTAGCTAGCTTGTGGTTCAACAGGCCACCTGAGGATGAGTTGGATGGTTGATTTCGTTCACTATCACTCGAGCCGGAAGAACCACTTCTTGAACGATTGATATCCGAACTGACATCAGGTAGCTTGGCTTGAATCGGGGGTAAGGGCTCTGAGATGGGTGAAACCGTATTTTGAGATATGGATGGCTCCGAAGGAAATTCGTCAGGCAATCTCGATTCATCATTGTGAGATGAGAGAACAAGAGGAGTGACCAGAGACATGTTATTCGGTCGAGTAGTGAAGGCCTTAATTACAAATCATGAAATTAAACCACCAGCGTCAGTTTGATGATGATAACATACACGTTTGGGATATCAAGGTAGAGTGGAAACAATAGATACCGATAGTTCATCCATGCTTTTTCGCCCGGTGGTCAATTTGGATTTGAGCATGTCGAATGATCGTTTGGCTCTCAGAGTCGGTCGAGTGGCTGGTTTTTCAGGCAAGGTAGGTGTTTGATTATGATCACGATCACCTGCGATGGGTTGAGGATCGGTATGCGTCCGAGACTTGGTAAATGGTCGGAGTAATAGATCAGTACTTTTTCGAGCGATAGTGGGACGTTGTGTTGAAGATTCGATCGATGGTCCATTGGAGTTAACAGTGTTAAAAGCACTGTTTGGCTTAGATTTATCCTTAGACCCGAAGCTCTCCAGTATATTCGACAGACTGTTTTTCTTTTTCAGCGTCTTGATTTCGATTGTTGGTACATCGGCATGATTTTGGTCGGAGTCACGAGTTGTAGGCGCGGGAAATGAGTTGGGTTTGGAATTTTGAGTATGAGCATTTGAACCGGTGACACGTGAAATCAATCGAGCCATACGACTGTTGCCAGAGTTCTTGGAAGATGTTCGAGAGTTGATGGTATTGAAAGATACCATGGAAGAGACTGGACTAGGACCGATGAACCCGTTCTTGTCAGGTTGATTAGTTGTGTGCCCTGCTACAGAAGAGATGTCGGAAGATGAAAGCGTATGTTTGAACTCCTCCCGATAGCCAATCTTGCTTTGAGGGATCTTGAGTTTGCTCATACCTCTCTTCAGGACTCCCGAAGCTCCGACTCCAATACATCCAGGTGCAACACTGGATGAAGTACCATTCATACAAGATGGTGCTGACCTTTGGAGATATGGACTAGTTTTCATGTCAGAGCGAGGTGGCTGTCTTGGATGACTATCGCAGCTACTGCTCCCAGGAGCACTATGCGCAACGTCGTAATTGTCAAAGTCGTCATCTGCTTCATCATGATCAGATAGGCTTGTTGGGAAATAAGAATCATTGTCTTCTGAGGCTTCGCTGGTAAATATCATCGTACCAGAGCTTGCATGAAGTGGCTTATCGGTTTGAAGTTTGAAATCGTAAGCATCAATTTCAGCATCTCTCAAGCTTGCAGAATTAAGTTTCGCAGAGCCAAGAGATGGTCCCCGGCCTGAAATATCTAAATCGAGTAGTAGGGGTGCGGAAAGGGTAGAAGATTGTATTTTGAATGAATTGGTGTCTATGGCGTGCTGAGGCGTCGTGAAATCGTGATCCGGTCGATGGGCGTAAGATTCGAGAGAAGAAAGATCTAATGAAGTCTTGATAGAGGTTTCTAGACCATCAGGCTTGATAATATCTGCAAAACTCTTCAGAGTGTCACGCTTCGAGGAGTCGAGGTCAGAAGAAGTGCTGAAATCACCCTGCGAATCAGAAGAAGAGACTGCCATTGTAGAGCTTGGCACGGATGATTTAGGGATGGGTTTTCCGAGAAAGTCGGTTAAATCTGTGCTAGGCAGCATTGTATCAAACTCAAAATCAAGCAGGGATTTCGAATTATTTTGATCGAGTGGGAGTTGAAGGATGGGGATTGTGGGAGGTTGGGAAGATTTGGAACTGGATGAATCCACAACGGGTAAATGTGACTTGGGATGTGTTTTGGATGGTGTCGGTTGATCTTCATTCGTCTGATGCGAAGCCAAAGTTGACGAAAGCACTGATGAGTGTTCACTGATCGATTCTCCGTCTCTCTGCCTCTCTAAATCACCATTAGAAGAGATTTGTAGATCTTGACTGGAAGTTGAAGTTAGCGCAGAAGAAGAAAGGTGACCTGCATCTTCTGAAGAGGTAAGCTGAGTGCCATAGGTCGGAGTGGAAGCGACGGTTGGATGAGAAGAACTTGAAGCACCTGATTCAAAGGAACTGGAAGATCGTGATAGTTGGAGTTGTGAAGCTGATGAGCTAAGGAAGTTATGCCGAGAGTTCATGGAGACTGGTACCATCGGAGCTCTAGCTCGAGCGGAAGTGGTAGGTAGCGAACCTCTAGGTTGATGAATTGAAACTCTCTGTTTGACTCCAGCACGGGTTGGAAAGAGAAGAACTTGACTTGTTGAAGGTTTAAGCGTAGGTATTGATAGATTACTTGATGAAGTACTCGGATGTTGATCGTGATCGTGTAGAGAAGATACAAATGAGGCAGGAGAACCGGGACGAGAGGAGAATGAGATCGACATGTCTGTGTTTGGCCAAAGAGCTCGTGAGGATGAGTGTTGTGAGTTGATGTGGGATAGTGAGTTTAGATTCGAATGCGAAGATGTGTTAGTGGGATTGGAAGGAGCGGATGAGCCAGACTGCAGAAAATATGTAAAAGCAAACGGATCAAAGTTAGAGAATAAGTCAGTGGCAAAATCAGCAAATTAGGACTCACACTAAGTCTCAAATCTGATGAAGGTCGAAGGTTACGTGGATCATGAGTATAAGTTGAATTAGATTGATATTGAGAAGGTAAGAGTGAAGAAGAAGAAGAAGAGATGAAAGTTGAATGAAAGCTTGATGTGGGTTGATTTTTTGAATGATGAAGAAGTTGATTTTGATTGATTTTTTGAAATGAAGATGAAGAATCGAATAAAGATGAAGTTGAGATCGATCGATGATTTGAGTTTGAATGATTATGATTATGGTTATGGTTAGATGATGATGATGGTGGTAATCGTGATGAGATTGGAGTAAGACTTTGATCCATGATGAAGGATGATGGATGATGGCAATCTCCAATCTCCAATGCTTGATGATTTCAATCAAACACAAACATTCAAACTTCAATTCAATCTCAATCTCACTCAGCCTAAGACTAAGACTAAGTACAACATCACAAGGTACACCATAAGTACTTTCACTTTGGATTTGGTCGATTTAACATGTTTTAAATAGTTTTCATCATTTAATTTCAAGATTATGTATCAAACCATGTTTGATTGAGTTGATGATTCAATTCATTTCAAATAAACTTACGGGTTTCTCAAACTAATCAAACCTTTTCATCTTCATCTTAACTCTATTCGATCAACACGCTAAATTCATTTCAAAAACACATACAAGCTATCTCAGCTATAAGAGAATACTCCGAAAAATTGAAAGATCAATCGGAATAAGAATCAGAGTCAGAATCAAATGGAACATGAAGATTACAAACATGCAAAGCACTGATGTGTCTCTGAATCGAACTGAAAGAAATTAACTTCAATCAAACATGTTGGATAAGAGTCCTGACAAAAACCTAGAGCCTCTCTAATCCCACTTCCTAATCCATCTCACAGTACCATGTGTCCATACTTTTGAAAATTAACAAAACACGTGTGCTGCATCAGGCTACACCCTCTTGTTACAAAAAGATGTAAAGCATACTTATCAAACATATGTATCAGACTTTGAACCCACTTCATGATCTCAAATCAACATTTTGGCAAGAAAAGATTTGTGAATCAAGAAATTATGTACGTAGATGGCCTAGAATGTCCTGTCCCAACTTTTTCATTTTATTTTTCTCAAAGGTTCACGTCAAATTAGGTCCAGATTAAGACCACAGCTATTTATCGGCTGAACGATGCACCCAACTCAACAAGAAGCTTCTAATATTGGATGCATTTAGCCTATGTATTTTAGCTCGAGGGTCGGTGAATCATCGACAAAAACAGAAATACAATGTACACGGTTCAAGCTTCGGTTTACAATCTTGATTCTTGAAGCATGGAAAAAAATCAATGTCCAAAACCGTTGCCAGGCCCAGGACCAATTTTGCACCAAAATCTTTGAAATTTGAATTGTCCAAAAGAGTTTTCTCCAAGTTTTGTTGAGCTTAACAAAGCCCTCTGTGCGCGGCGGCGTCCGCGCCCTTGCAGAGGGGCTTACGATTCATCAGATTGTCATCAGATTCCGTTCATCATTCAACTAAATCTCTTTGACATTTGATATGTCATTTACACTACAACAAGCCATCTTTAACGAGAATGAAATCTATCTAGGAACAACTTGAAGCTTGTCCACCGATCTCAGAAGACGGTGAAGCATTTGGTGATCAATACACAACTAACCATATTGCTGAAGTTTGATTGATCAAGAGACTTGAAGATTTTACTTCTATCAAAAAGACTGAAACAAAACTCAGTTTGAGTGAGAAACAGTGTTTAGTGAAGTTGTTGTATAATGGTAAAGCTTTCTCAAAAAGCTGTTTGCCTTGATTAAAAAAAATAAGTGTCCATGCTTGTATATAGGTGCCTTGGATTGAGAATGAGAAAGAAAAGATGAGGATAATATGAGTCAAGTCAAGAACAAGATCAATCGTGAATGGAGGAGGAGGATGGTTTTTGAGGAAGGTGGTGGATGATTGACTCAGAGAGGTTCTGTACAATGATTGTGGACTTGTGATACATTTGAGAGGTTCCGTATGGTGGAAGGTACCTTGTAAGATGAGTCAATTGGCAGGAAATGTTGAGAAAATGAATTGCAGAATGTGATTTCTAGAGGCAAAAATGTGATATTATTGGATTCTTGAAAAGCAATGAAAAAAGACTTTTTATGAGCATTCTGTGATTTATAGAATGCTTGTAAATAAGAAATCAAACACATTCTGTGAAACATGATTTCTTGACATTCAAGAAAGCAATTTCTCGCAAAAGTGTGCTTAAGTGAACACAGCCTAAGTGTCCTTAAGTACTTTTTTGCATCTTGACGCTGATCACAAGCAAGCCTCACTTTACTCCACAGGCAAAGCTGTTCATAATAAGTTTCTACATGTGCATCTCCTATTAACAAGAGGTAAAAATACTCCATTGTGCTGTTCTTTAGGCAAGTTTTCAAGCCTTATGTCCCACTTGTAAGGGGGTGTACTTAATTTTTGAATCAAGGCATGTTGTAACCTCCACGCCACTTTTTTGGCCACATTAAGTGCTCACACCAAAAATCCACAATTAGTCCTAAGCCCCTCTGTGAGGGTGCGGACACGGCTGTGCAGAGAGGACTTTGTTAAGCCAAAAGTTTTGTCCATAACTCACACAAAAAGACAGCACCAAATACATACATACATAAACCAAAGAACTCTTGAGCCACTCTACTACATTTCTTTGAGCAGGACACAAATTTCTTGTATATGTAGCTGTATAAAGTCCAACAAAAATATAAACACAATCCTCAGCTAATGATTGCATATCAGCCTGAGCCCCAACCCAAAAACCGCGGGTAATGGCCTACCTGCACCCCAAACCAATCAAAACCTGGCTCTCAGAAGCCCCCCAACCCCTATCCCAAATGCCTAAAGCCCGCAGGAAGCCGGGGGTCCCTGCAGGTAAGATTGGGGGTTTGATGCCTACACCCCCCCGCCCCCAAACCCTAAGGCCCCCCCAATGTATCAGAGTCCCAAAAAGCCTAATCAAACCCACACCCCGAGGGTTTGGGATTTGGGGAACCCTTGGGGCCTTGTTCCGGGGGCTCAGGCTGAATTGACAAATCTAAAAGCATATGTAGGGAACCAACCTCATTAATTACCAATTTGAATTCCTATGTGCAAGTGATCCTTGTTGTACAAGATGAAATTAAAATGTGTTGTGAAGACCATGCACTGTGTCCTTGTGGCAGTTGCCCGACAACAAGCGCACACGGAATGCCTTTGAGGCACAAAGGCAACTCGTATGCGCTTGTCAACAAGCAAACACCACACGGACATGGTGCATATGAGGTCTTTGAATATGAGATATTGATCTATATTCTACCATTTCAAAAGAAAAGGACAATAGTTGTACAATCATCAAAGGTGGTACTTTGACTGCTTTTATTGAATCTCCTGTTATGCCCTATCTTCAGCCAGTCAGATTCAAAAGCAGTAAAAAAAGGAGTTGCATAATTTAGTCTTAGACATGCAAATCTTAGAGCATTGCCACCAATGAAACTGGACTGTCAACAAACATAAATGTCAGTTAAGATGTATTGGACACTTTCAGGCCATGATCCAGCAAACACAATCCACCAACAGAATCAAATCCCACTGTATACCAGCCTGTGAAGAATTGTGATGGAATAGCTCCAAGGGTTGAATTGGCTGTGCCAATGTAAAAGGGTGAACCTGGGGTAATCAGGGCAAAAGTAAGCAATCAGCACAGCCAACACATTTACCCTGCATTTTTTAATCTGAGGTATCATTGGACTCAAATGCTTCAACAGACTCTTTCCAAGGTTTTTATCCCAGGAATATCTTTGCACCTAAATATACCTTGAATCAACTTGTTGGAAAAGACCTATCCAAGAGTTTACATCTCATGATGCCTTGGATTCTGCAACCCAAGGCATCTATGTTGGTGCAGGCAACAGCACCTACAAGCTTCAGATAGCTACAGAAATCAACCAACCTGGGGTAATCATGTCAAAAGTAAGCAATCAGGGAAAAGCACCTACAAGCTTCAAAGAGCTACATAAATCAACTAACCTGTGCACAGAGCAACAGGGAAAGACATGTAGAAAGCAACAAAAAACTCAAATGAGTTCCAGTAAAAATAAAGACTCTTTTTGTTGCAAAAATAATTCATACCTAGGTTAATCAGGTCAAAAGTAAGCAATCAGGCAACAGGGCCTACAAGCTACAAATGGCTACACAAATCAACTAACCTGTGCACATGTGCAACAGTGACAAAAACTAGGTTGGTGAATGAATAAGAAGTAATATAGAAATAGTTATGACAAACCTGTGCACAGAGCAACAGGGAAAGACACATAAAAAGCAATGAAAAACTGAAATGAGTTCAAGTAAAAATAACTAGAGATGTGAAGCGTGAGGATAAGTTATAAGGGAAGAATATCAGGATTCATCCGGTGGGCGCAGCGCCATTGGCCTGCCTCAGGGGCATGCCTTTGAGGCAGGCCCTGGGCAGGCCTTTTGGGCTTGATTTTGGCGTTGCCATGCACTTGTTAGGTTTAGGCTGGTTTAGGTCTATTCCGTCCAGTCACTGTGTGATTATGGTTGGGGGTTTTTGTTTAACATCAATAATAGGGGGTTTCAAGTTCAAAATTTTTATGTATTTTTGCGCTACAACAAATTGCCTGTTGTTGTAAAATATGCGTAATTTTTTTGAAGCAGGACACCTTTTTAGGTGTCCCAAATTAAAAATACATTGGTTTTACGTAGATTTCTTTTATGAAAAACTTGCCCAGATTTTTAAAAAATACGCAAAAAACAATTGAACTTGAAACCCCCTAATATTTTTAAATCACACCTCAAAGTGCTCTACTTACAATACATCCCTAATCTCCAAGCCACTATCAGCTACTATTGTTTGAGATAGGTGTCTGAGAACAGGGAATGGGATGAGGATGAGCTTTTTGATTGTTGACTTTCATGACTGTTGATGAGATGTACATGAGTACCGCTGTGAAATAATTATGTATGCTATGTCTGATGTTTTTTGAGCGTTTTTTCCCACCTACTTTGCTTTTTGGGGAGATTTTAACATCTCAGAGGCAAACCTAAGCACCCCCACTATAGGTGTGCCTTTGGAAAGATCAAAATGCACGCCTAGGCCTGCCCCAAATTCAAAACGTGCGCCCACCACGTTCCATCAACCGGAGTCTCACATTTCTTAGCAGGGCAAGTATTCCCTTTTTATGTATTTGTATCTAATTTTCTTTTTGTATTTTGTTATTTCTAATATTTCATTGTTTTGTCTTGCACTTTTATTTCATACTCTATATTTTTGGACA